TATAAATAGTGAAAAGTGGGTGTTACATTGTACAGTGGCATAATGTACACCTCTGCCTACCCTTTCGGGGATAAAAGGCGTGATGTTATGTTATGTTAAATTCCTCGTGTATTTTCTTGCCATTTAAGTGTCATTGATTCAGGGACGCGACGAAATTCGCTGCGAAAGCTATGAAACGACTACAATAATATATTATAGTTCCGATGTAAAATTATAGCAATAAATAACTGAAGATTTTGTAAAACCTCTAGACGATTGTAATATAGACGTCTAGTCACCATAATATCGGGATTTGCTTCAAGCACGCTTTTATTTCATAAAATCTTCCAAGTGAACATTGTCAGATATTCAGCATTCGTGTTTATTGCATTTCATGGGTTTGCAAACGGTTATTGTAAAGATAAAACAGTATAGGAATCAAATAAAATCGATATTTCAATGCAACAACTTACTTTTACTTAGTTTCTAGTATATTAGATAGTGTATGACACAAACTGACTAACAAACTTGTTCTTGGTGTTGTTTATTTTAAATGAGTTATTTTTTTCATCTTTTTAAAATCGGTTTTATGTATTTTGTAGATTGTCCATTGAAGACTCAAATTTGATGTTCGAAGTTTGAAAAAACTCAGTTTTAGTTAAAGCAGAATTAAAAAGGTTTGATTTTTACTGGCCAGATGATAAAAAAAATACTGGGATGAAACATTAAAATATTTTTTTAAGTTTTTGAAGCAGTGTTCCATTTCCAAATTCATAAGACTATTCGTTAAAATAAATTCTAGGAATCTATGTATTTGCTTATATCAACTTTTTCATCTCTTTGATCAGTAATATCAAAAGACCAGAAATATTCCTTCTTTATAATTCTATAGATATAGAACATAACATAATAAGAAATAAAGTTTCATCTGATAAATATCGTGGAAATATGGTACAAAGAAACTGAAAGAAAATTATAAATAGATATTTCAATGAAACTGAAAAATATCAAAAACCTTTTCAATAAATTGTAGGATCTTTTTTCCATAAGTAAACTCCTCACAATCACTATACATCATGAAAATCTCCGCTGAACAAATGACTTAGGCTAGTCGAATGTAACAAACACAAAATACATAACAGAACACATACAAATAAACACATAAAAGAAAATTGGTGGAAAACAGTAACTAATGTTGAAATGCTGATCATTAAGAGCTATTTTAATGAATTGCTAGAAGTCATTCATATAACATAACATATAACATATAACAAAAAAGAGCTTATATTACAACTTCTAAAAACTAAACAATCTCTTTGCATAATCAGTCGTTTCAATAACACAAAACTCACATCTATAGTAAATGTTACCAAGAATATTTATTTTTAGCTACAAAATGGACGGTATTATTAAAAAGAAATAAATATTGGAACCACTCAGTCAGTTGTGGCGGTGTTTGATGTTCGACACGGAGCGCAATGAACCGCACGGGACACGCCTGTTGACATCGCCTAACGACGCCTCGGTGTCATCCATTCATTATGGAGTATGAGTAGTTGAGACCCTTGAGTTTTGTTTGTAGTATTTTTGCTTGTAACATAATTTAGTGTATTGTTTTATTGGTTAAAATTCTACTGTGTTTGTCTAGCTTTTAACCCTTTGAGTACCGTCATTATAGACACAATTAAAGAACAATAGGTTGCGGTCACCGGTGTCCTCGCTGTGTTTGACAGTTTAAGGTATAAATATTGAGATATCAGTAGTATTTTTTATGAATTTTAGAATTAAGTTCGATATAGGAATGTAAAAAAATAATATTTCGAATTATATCTTAACCATATTACCTATGTAAATTCCTGGGGGCCTAAAAAGGTAACTTTGGGTAAATCATTTCTAATATATGTAATTTGATGAATTGTAGGAAAATCACCTAAATCACCATAAAATGGTAACAATAAAGTATGAAACATCTACAATTAATTTCATGACTGAATCATATTAGGTGTCGATATTGCTACACAAGAAATATATAGAGAGAAACTGAACCGTAACTTCACCGGTGTTGTTAATCTTGTGTTCTTGATTAAAAAACTTCAAACCTGAATGTTTTTTAAACTGTCAAACATCGCGAGGAATCCGGTGACCGCAACCTATTGTTCTTTAATTGTGTCTATAATGCCGTCATTTGAGTACCGTTACTCAAAGGGTTAAATATAAGATTTTATCATATCTACCAAGAAACTAGAAAATTCATTAAAAATACGTATTTTAAAGCAAGCATAGTGATTAGTGCTTAAATCTTCTCCGTGCGAGCTCTTCTCGCTTTGCTCAGTAGTAGGCATTTTATAGGCTGTTGATGATATAGTATATGAGAGAAGCTTAAGCTAAGAATTTCCGACAAGGCCCAAAAATAAATCCGAATGGATAATAAGAAATCAAACTCTAGACACCTTTCTCTGTCGCGGAGAACTTAACGGGTGACCGGGGCCGTTTTTAGTCAGTAAGAGTCTGTAACTCCCTCCCGCCTCACCCAGGCGGGAGCAGTAATTCGATGATTTTCCCCCCTTAAAAAAAGATACCTTTCTCTGCACGACAGTGCTTTGCTTGCCACGATGTAGGCTCTAAGCAGTACATTAAAACAACGATATTCCTAGAAGTAGGTGTGAGAACACAATTTCTCGGCAAATAATATTACAGCGACGGAACCCACCCTAAATTACACTGGCCAAACCCTCGGGGGATAATAAAACTTTGTCTACCTATTCTTGCCCACAGCTATCCACCAAATTAAACTTTCTCGTACTTTTTACGTTTATAATTTTGTACTTTACCTAAGTAATTGTTTCCTTAATTTATTTTCCCTTGGAATTGTGTGGTTTGTAATTTAGATTAATGTTAAGACAAATAAGTTTGACTGGAGAATAATTGAATAGGAATTTGACTTCTTGTTATATTCACTTCTACTATTATTACTGTTGTAATGTAGACTATAAAGAATTTTATTTCCGACTAGCTTTTGCACGGGTATTCCTGTTTTATCCTATGGTAGTATTTAATCGGGATAAAGGTATCCCATCACCTAAGTCAGCCCATACCCTGCCTGACTATACCATCAAAATCCTTCCGTAGTTTCAGCGTTATTGACGGACAAACATCCAAACAAAGAAACATCCATATTTATAATATTAGTGTGATGGTTTATTTATTCTTATTATTGGTTCAATTACAATATGGACACTGACCTCCCCACCTCATTTGCCTATTATTTATTATTTTTAAATTTAAATTTTCTAAATTCTTCCCTCCTCATATCACATATGATTTTCAATACCTCCGAAGAAATTTGGGCCTACCAGGGGCCAATAAGTTAACATTTTTTGCTCACTTATATAATTTTTGGCAATATAATCCCCTAGGGTGTATTTCGTATTTAAATGGAATGTAGGTTTCATATGACAAAGTTAATAAAACATTACAGTATTTATATTGAAATATCTACCACACTGATGAACATATTTACTAGGAATATCCGCTTCGTAACGTCTAGGTATATAATATGTGGGAGCGTATAAAGCGTATAAGTATTTTCGTATTTATCATGCATAAAATTGCTCCATACATATTAAATGTTTTTCATTTTATGGACTACTTTTGATCTATTAAAAGCCGACATTTTCTGCATTCCAATATTTTTTTTAGGTGTATCGTCGTCGATTGGTAAAACTGAATAACATTCTGTCCCTATGTCTAACCTGCTTTTATTTATTAATTTTAAAATCACATCTGTTCTATATCAGACTATTTTACAATCTCACCTTAGCAGAAACGAAATTCAAACAAATCTCATGTCATGTCAATACACTTCCACAACATCAAAATCGATTTCACTTTTAAAATGAAGATGCAAAAACATATTACTTTTCTCTGTCTGCTCTCTGCCTTCTTAATAGTCACATTACCCCTACACTGGTCCCACATTGTCACCACAGTTTGCTTACGTCCACCACATACACACACACACAGAAATTGGCACACCAGTCACGTAACGCCAGCGAGTACGTGAGACGCCCCTGTACATATTAGATTTACGTCCCATTATATGGACATATTATATCCAGGACTGTTATGGACTGTTTGTGAAATTAAATCATCCAGACCGCTTTTTGTCCATTTGATTTCAGTGACGAAATACCGTCCTGTATTAGGGTTGACGGTATTGCGATCCCTTTTGTGTTACGCGATAATTAAAATAGGATGTGTCGGTTTGTTTTATGTTCTCGCCTTGACACATTGGCGGCGGGTTTTTCTGTACATTCTTTTGTGAGGTTTTAATATACTGTTGAATTATTTAGCTGTACGTTATTAATATAGACGTTGACAGTTTTATTAATTTTTGTGAATAGTTTTATAATATACTTTTGGTATCTGTTAATATACTCCAATGGAATAGATGAAACTATTGACTCATCTGAGCAACAGGTACCACACTAAGTAGCAATGTTTTGTTTTATACTTTTGGAGTCGTCTATTCTATTCCTTACTGTTTTTATGTAAGTATGTAAGGTAAAGGAGCAGACGGATCACCTGATAGTAAGCAATTGGCTCCACTCATAGACATCTGAAACACCAGAGCCGTTACAAATGCGTTACCGGACTTTTAAGAATAGGGAATTTGAAGATTGTGGGGGATTCGGGGATTAGGGATTGAGAAAGAGGCCTTCCAGTAACCTCACTCACACAACGAAACACAACGAATCCGTTGTATTACGTTGGTTTTGTGCTCGGCCGCGGTATCACTCCGGTCGAGCCGGCCCATTCGTGCCGAAGCATCGCTCTCACACACTTTAACGTACTACTTACTCCTTAATCTGTCAAACACCGAGCGGTCACCGGTGACCGCGACCTATTGTTCTTTAATTGTGTCTATAAAACCGGTACTCGACGAGTTAAACTGGTTACTGCTGCTGCCTAATAGACAGACATGTAGAAACAAATCGTCTATGAACTATCAAGAACTTCAGTTTTTTTTTTTTTTTTTTTTTTTTTTTTTTTAAGGGGGGAAAATCATCGAATGACTGCTCCCGCCTGGGTGAGGCGGAAGGGAGTGTCAGACTCTTACTGACTAAAAACCACCCCGTTCCTTCTCCTGCACGTCGAGCCGGAGCCCCGGTTACCCGTTAGGTTCTCCGCGACTCCGAATCGGCATCGGCCCTATTGGGCCCCATCTGTGGTGGTCTGATGGCTCTTTGAGGCGCGCGCGGAACGCGACGCGCCGTACGCTCGGGTAAGAACTTCAGTTTGGAACCGCAACTTTGTGTACTAACCCTTGACTTGTTGACACACTTTGAAAACTTAATGTTAATTCATACAACAGTCGTGTAATTATATGAATAGTTATAATGTAGCTTGAGTAATAACAGTAGAGTATAAAGGTACGGTCTGAACTGTTTTAGTTTTGCTAACTTAAGAGTTTAGATTCAAATCTAATCTCTTCATAGAATTAATTCTGTGGACAAAATTCTGTAGACTATACGGTTGATGCAGTGGCCGCGCAAAGTGTCATCGTTTCGATTCTCGCACGGAACAACTCTTTGTGTGATCCACAAATTGTTGTTTCGGGTCTAGGTGTCATGTGTTTGACACACATGAGAAAATCCTACTGTGGATCAAAATTTTTGTACGAAAAATAATATTCTTATATTACCATCATAATTGACGTTGTACACAGCTGAACATAGGCCTTCCCCAATGACTTAGAGATAGGCAGGTTGGAAGCGACCTCCATTTAGCGGCTCCCTGCGACCTATTTTTATATACCTGATGAAAAATAACGAATATTACTTTATAATTACCTACTCATAATAATATACTCGTTCCTTTTTCATTCGCCAATTAAGAGGCAGCTTATTAGTATAAGCAACTGAGAAGTAAAGGAGATGACAGCAAAAACAACTAATTACTTAATTACCATCAGGTTAAGATCTATTATTTAGTCACTTTATATACAATAGCCAACCACATATTAAACAGTCCTCTAAAATTTACAAAACGACCTCATATTTTATATCTCCTCCCACTCGATTACGACTAAACACGAGCATTTTACAAAACATAAATTACTTTCCGGCTTTGCCATTAAAAATTACTGACAAGGTACTAAGACTGGACAAAAGGCTCAAAGGAAATAAGTACGAAACGTAATGTATTATTACGTAGATGGACTGTCCATTAGGTATATAATCAACCGCACATCTCTACCACAAATTTCGACTTTATTGTATAAGAAATAAAAGTGCTCTTATAGTGGGTGAAGATGTCACGTAAGGATCCCATTCCCGTTGGATAGCTAGATTTTCCACGTAGTAAAATATTATGTTTGCCTTTCAAAAGTTAAATTCTCTATTAAGTATTTTTGTACGTAGTTTTAATGACAATGTTCAATACTTGTTAGCTATTTTATTTACATGTAAAATGAAAAATATCAGTTTTCCATTTTTCATCTGAAAACTGATTTCCATTCACTGTACACATTTATTAACCTTCTGAGAATTGAGGTATCAATAAATAGGTATGTAGGTTCTAGATGACGTAGCAAAAATCGTGTGAAGCTTATACTTGTACTTACGTGAATATCATAACCGACACACATACTTCAATTTAATTTAAACTTTAAATGAATTTCGTATGACTCCTTTTGTTCTGTTTTAGTAATTAAAAAGTTGTCGCCGAGACCAGAGATACGGTTATCTGCAATCTGACGTCACTCACCCTTAGGACTTTGTATGCAAGATAAATGAAGAGCGCTGCAAATATGCTGCAAAGCGATTCAGCGCTGTGAGACGTGGAACAATGTATTTTGTCAAATGACTTCGTATATTTCTTGAAGCGCTTTATAGAATTTCAAGTAGTGTCTACTCGGTATGGTACATTGTAATAGGTCTCTCGATTTGCGTCTCATAGTTGTAAGGACCTAGGTCTGTGAAACATTGTGTTTTTATTAGTATTTTTGCAATTAATTAAAATACCATTAATACATGCATGAAGGACAAGGTACCTAGTATAAATAATCTTCTTTATCATTTAATCCGTTAAAGCTTTTGAGGGACCTATGTTGACAAAAAATTGCAGGTAAAGCAGTTGTTGACTGCCTCGTTGCCCGAGTGGTCGCAAGTGCTACTGCTGGGCGAGGGGTTTCGGGTTCGATTTTCGGGTCGGGCAATGTATTACTGATACTGACAATGTAGACTTTGTTATCGGTAAAAATCGTTTAATTTATCATCCCGAAACTAGATAGAAAGTGACCCCACAGTATAAAAATATATTTGTACTTACGTGCCATCGTTACGTTGCATCTCAGTAGTAGCACAGAGTCTGATATTGTGGTATACGGCAATAGGCTTACTCCCTATTACATGGGACTGATAACATAAATAGTGAAATGTAGGTGTTACATTGTACAGTTGCATTAAGTGCTGTAATATGCACCTCTGCCTACCCCTTCGGGGATAAAAGTGTGATGTTATGTTATAAAGCAGTTGTTTGTACGGGCCGTAAATAAAAATGACATGACAAAATGAAATAAGTAATGATGTTGTTGTATGTTATTAATACCTTTTGAAATATCTAGTAATATTGATGGACAAACAAATAACTCAAACGATCCATTGTACACAAATCTATAAAATATATTATTTTATGAGTGACAAACAATAAGCGAGAAGTGTTTGCTAAATATTTGGAATCCGATCGCTGATTGGTTTATAAACAATACCGACCATTTGTGCCTTTTGTTTACATTACAATATAATTAAAACGCTGATTTAATGGAAAGGTATGCATATAGATTTTTTAATTAAACTGCACAGTTGGCGCGGTGGTTGAGCAACTGGCTGCCGTGCAACGTGTAGCGGGCTCGATACTCTCACGGAGCAACTTTTTGTGTGATCCACAAATTGTTGTTACGGGTCTGGGTATCATGTGTATGTGAACTTCTATATTTGTAAACGCACCCACGATACCTACAGGAGATAATCCTAGTGTGGGGCAACAATTTGATAGAAAAAAAAATGTGATTGTAGACAAAACAGTTACACTATTATAGTAATGTTAAGTTGGCTGTACAATGTCCATTTAATAGTTATTTTTTTAATTCATAGCGTAAATATATCTTTCATATTGAATTTTTGAAAACCAGTTCATACTATTTAAACCTGTTTTAAAATGTGAGGTAAACAGCCTGACTTACGATGTAATGTTCTTTATATATGTTTTTGTATATCTTCAAAGATATGAAGACTAGCTTATTGCAATCTTTCAAGTTCTACCAATTCATATCAATAAGTAACAATACTTTATTTATTTTGTGAATTTTTACAGCATTTTACTCTTTAGTATTATCATGTGCAATAAATAATAAATAAAATAATCACATTATAATTGTAATATAATATTATGAATGTGAAAGTTTCTTTGTTTGGGTGTTTGTCCGTCAAGCACACTGAAACTACTGAACGGATTTTGACGAAATTTGGTATACAGGCAGGGTATGGACTGACTTAAGCGGGCTGACTCCCATGGGATAAAACCGGAATCATATTCTAAGCAGACAAAGTTGCGGGTAACAGCTAGTTTTTAAGAATTTCTTTAAAAAAACAACACTTTTGACTTCGTTTTTTTTCTTCCACGCCACATGGTCCCTTTGGTCATCAACTGTGACATCTACCGTGACAAAGAAAACACACCTTACAACTGACAGTTGACCCGCCATGTTGGAACAAAACACTGTATTTTGTTTCAATTTTCTCGCTCTGTTAATTTAGTAGCTGTGTATAATGAAGTACACTAGCTATATTGAAATGTAAATTAACATGCATTCAATAAGTATGTGACAGAAGTTTTTGTATGTACATATGTGTAAAGGACCACTACATATTATAATAAGGTTTAGTAACAGTGTCTTTGATCAGGTAGTACCGATAACATAACATAACATCACGCCCTCTATCGCCGAAGGGGTAGGCAGAGGTGCACATTACGGCACTCGCCACTGTACAATATAACACCCACTTTTGACTGTTTTTGTTAGGCGTCCCATGTTATAGGGGGTGAGCCTATTGCCATATACCGGGCACAATTCCAGGCTCCGTACTACTACCGAGATTTTTTTAAACTCAGTTACACTTTGCCCGACCCGAGAATCGAACCCGAGACCCCTTGCCTGACAGTCACACTTGCGACCACTCGGCCAACGAGGCAGTCAGGCATCAGAGGCCTTAGAACGAGTTTTTTTTAACGTTTAAAGTATTCGATACGAGTACGCGTTTGGCGCACTGATTGACCGGCGCCAATGAACCAACCAATCACAGCGCCGAACGCGTACTCGTTACGATTACTTTAATCGTAAAACGAATTCGTACTAAAGTCTCAGTCCTCTGGCATCAGTAAGCCATGTGGATGTAAATACATCAAATGGTTAAAACTTACTGATGCCAATATACCCAAAGAAAGTTTTTAATCAAAATTTTAGATTTTGCCCTGTACTTATACATCCATAAACCTAAGTTTCACTTCTCTGTTAGTCGGCTTCATTAAACAGATCACAAGCCCAGCCTTTTTTAATTCGTCCCTTAACACTTTACCTAACTGCGAAATTTAAAATGATGGAAGTTGAACTTCAACTAGCGTAAGGCACCAGTGACAGACGTGGCGCTCTAAGAGTTAAAATCCCTTGACTAAAATAGGTCCTTACATTCTATTGACCCTTTTTTACCGTAAAATAACTTCTATTATCAACGTGACTAAGTAAATATTACATTCTCACCGACCTCACATATGACTTAACAGCTGACATGACCTACCCTCGTCCCTAGATAGTTTATAAAGCTCAAGTGGCTCCATCTATGTTGACATACACGATATGACAGAATGAAAAAATAATTTCACTCTATACAACTTCGTGACTTACATCAAGTACTTCATAAATAGTAATACATTAAAATTGTATTTATGACTTTTGACGTTTGTTTTCGTGCACGAAACCTAGATATGAGCAACATTTTTTTTATGAAATAAGCCGGTAAATGAGCTGACGGATCACCTGATAGTAAGCAATCGGCGTCGCTTATGGACACCTGGATCGCCAGAGGCATTACATGTGCGTTACCAGCCTTGGGAATTTTAGGGATTAAGAGTTTGAGGTTTGTTAGGGACTCATGGAATGGAGAGATTGGGAAGAAAGAGGGAGGAGGTAATTGGGCCTTCGGTAACCTCACTCATACGCCGAAACATAACGCAAGCATTACCTCACGTCAGTTTTCTCTGAGGTTATGGTATCACTCCAGTCGAGCCAGCCCATTAATGCCGAAGCATAGCTCTCCCACACTTGAAAAGGAGTGATGACATAAGTCACAAAAGGCTCTAAGAACATAAATATTTTATTTGTCCTCTACCAAACACTTAAAGGACAAGATAGAGAGTGTCCCTATCCAAATTGATAATGAAACGCCCCACATAACCCTAACAAACTGTCAACATATAAAAACACAACACCCTATAAAAGTTTCTCGAACATCCTCTATAACCAGACACCTACAAACAGGTAAGAGTCCCGTAATGAGTTTAGACGGTGCAATTAAACCTGGCAAAGTGGGTCGACGTGGTCCAATTTGTAGTACTAACTTATAGCTAAATGAATAAGATTAGGTATATGTATGCATTAATACTGTTAGTATTACTCTTTTTATATGATTTGGTTTTAGAATACAAGGTTATTGTAATTTTTTTTAAAAACGTTGCCCCACACTTCGATTTTCTCCTGTATCGTGGGTGCGTTTACAAACATAAAAGTTATAGTGAACTCATCTAATTCTGTGACTCGCCTAATAATTCGGTTTAGTAAATTTGGTAGAACTCTTAGGTTTCTAGAAAAAAATCTGATTATTTGTGCTAATATTCCTCATAAAAGACTGATTAAAACTCATGCGGAGACTGAATTAAATTAATTAATAATTTATTGGTATTTTATTACTCAAATGCCTTTGTCACGAAGTTAGATGAGTTCACCCTACATCACACCCAGACCAAAACAGCAATTTGTGGAACACACAAAGTGTTATTCCGTGCGGGAATCGAACCCGCGACACGATTCACGGCAGCCGGTTGCCCAGCCACCGCATCAACCGTGCAGTCAAATTCGATTATATTGAGTCAATCGATTATATTGTTATTGTCCCAACGCCAGATAAATTGAGGAGTCAATTTGAAGATTTGAAAGTTCTTTCACTATTTATTAGACTAAAAACGGTCTAATATGTTTATTCAACAGTTCTGACTTCTGAACATAATGTTCTAGTAAGCAGAAGTTATAGTATAATTACTTTTCGCTATTTCTTCAAAGTCATTTTTAGTTGGCCGAGTGGTCGCAAGACTCGGGTTCGATTCCCGGGTCGGGCAAAGTATTACTGGGTTTTTAAAAATTCTCAGTAGTAGCCCGGATTCTGGAATTGTGCCCGGTATATGGCAATAGGCTCACCCCCTATTACATGGGACTCATAACATAAATAGTGAAAAGTGGGTTACATTGTACAGTGGCATAATGTGCACCTCTACCTACCCTTTCGGGGATAAAAGGCGTGATGTTATGTTATGTTATGTCATTTTTTGTTCTGTGATATAGGAAAAACCTGTTGCTTAGATATGAACTTCTGTGTTCTACTACTTAGGTGCGATTTTTCAATGATGAGTCAATTCTTAACTGTTGAATAAAATTGATATTCGACAGTTTTTTAGTGTGGAGGAATTTTCATATGTTCAAATTTACTCCTCAATTATTTGGCGATGGGAAAATCGGCCCTCAATAAGATAAGATATGAAATCAAATAGCATGCTTTATCAAAGCCGCGGTCTTAATCTTTCTTGGAGAATCGCAAAAAATATCATTATGCTTCTACCTCATTTTACTTGAACTATACGCATTAAATAACAATTAGAAACAAAGAAAAAAGAAAAAACTTTATTTCAGGCCAAAAAAACAAGTGGCATGTACATAAAAGTCATTGTATTAGTAGGTAATGATGGATACATGTTCATGTCCCGTGTCTGCCGCGAAATGAGACCAGTTCAGCATGTGCAAGACAGGGCCTTGCGCTGGTATTCTACTGGCCCCTTAAGAGTCTCGCGGACGAACAAGCCACCAATTAGGCATTAACAGTTTAGATGAAATAAATTGATTAAACAAACATTCATAACTTTACAAATAAATTAAAAGATACAATAAAAAAAAAATAACAAAATAAATGAATAGATAAAAAAAGCACAACCGGGTAGTTACATATTATATTGAATAATTTCCCCTTATATTACTTAAGAAAAAAGCAACCTTTATATCATCATCATGTTGGTAGGTAGATATAAAACAAACATATACATTTTTTTTTAAGGGGGGAAAATCATTGACTGACTGCTCCCGCTTGGGTGAGGCGGAAGGGAGTGTCAGACTCTTACTGACTAAAAACCACCCCGTTCCTTCTCCTGCACGTCGAGCCGGAGCCCCGGTTACCCGTTAGGTTCTCCGCGAGAAACATATACAATTACAACAAGTCAACAACCTAATAATAATCCTACTTTATCCACTCTTTCAAAAAACAATCAAACTTCAATAATAACACAAAGTTTTCTATCATCGCGTCGTAAAAGAAGGAAACTGTCACCATTTTCATAAATATAGCGATTACAACCACAACGCCAGCTTAGCAGGGTACAGTCGTGTAGAAAAACGAATGGCCTGTAACGCTGTAATATCGCAGACACTCCCCATAATATCGTCACATCACTTACGAGAGGGCGCGCCGTACTGTCGCGCACAAAAGTACTTTCTAAGGATTTTTCATTAAGTCGTGCGCGTTCTTATAAAATTGTATTAAACGAGAAATGTATTGTATGTCCTCTTTATATTATTTTCTTTTTGGGATTTAATTCCTTACTTAGACTTAGGTAAAATTATTTAGAAGGTCAGAAACCTGTACGTTTTGTTTCATATTTTTATAAAGCTTGATGAAGATTATTACATTTATGAAATATTGACATAAACAAATATATTTTCATTTTTCACTTATAATTTAGATATGGTTCTTCGGAGGTTATATAATATTTCTCAAGTTTATTAAAAAAATTGTTGCGGTGGCTTAGCAACTGGCCGCCGCGAGTTCGTTTTACACACAAACACAAAGTAATTTTTGTGTGATCCACAAATAGTTTTTTTGGGTCTGGGTGTCATGTGTATGTGAAATTATATGTTTGTAAACGCACCCGATACAGGAGAAAATGCTAGTGGGATGCAACGTTTTAAACGTAAATGTCACAGTTATAGCACTCAGATAGAGAAGTATTTTAAAAAAAAAAATGCGTACATAGACAAATCCATGCGTTTAGTTAGTAGTAAGGCAAACACATTTTGATTTAAAAGTAATATTGTTCTAGAGCTTCCATGTTCTAATTTCCTTTCTGCAAAATTAATTGAAATGAGTTAGCCTTGAATCCTTACTTTCATAAATCAAAATATCTTATTACTTTATTTATTTCAATTTAACAGTTTATAATTAATTCTTGAATTTCGAATTATTTTAACGATCTGTTAAAATCTCTATAACCTTTAACGCAAACTAAATCAGAAATTGAATACGTAATCATTACTTTCATTGTTTAAGAAGTTCAAAAGTGTCGATTTCATATTAGAAACAGTACACTCTGCCTCGTTGGCCGAGTGGTCGCAATTGCGACTGCCGGGCAAGGGGTCTCGGGTTCGATTCCCGGGTCGGGCAAAGTATTACTGCGTTTTTAAAAATCTCAGTAGTAGTACGGAGTCTGTAAATGTGTCCGGTATACGGCAATAGGCTCACCACCTATTACATGGGACTCGTCAAATAAATAGTGAAAAGTGGGTGTTACATTGTACAGTAGCATTAAGTGCCGATATGTGCACCTCTGCCTACCCCTTCAGGGATAAAAGGCGTGATGTTATGTTATGTTACAATACACTCTTTTTAAAGCGTTAAAAATGTACCTACTATTTTAAATATGTATAAAAACACCTTGAAAACTCCAGAGTTCGTTCGTAGATACACACTTTTTTAAAAAGAGTAACGTATGGAGTTTCTTGCTCGTTCTTCTCCATTCGAATCTACATTTTGGAATGAGCACCTAGCTTCACCTAGCTTCACTGACGGACTGAATGACAGACTATTATTTACTTTGTATTTATTGACATTTTAAAAGTACCAAATTATGGTTTAATTGAAATAAATGCTTTGACTTTTTAGGGAACAGAGAGTAAAGTTCCCTTAGATCGGAAAAGGAGGATCCTCCGACCAGGCGAGGTGATCGTGCCTGGCGGGCTTTCTGCCCAACAGTTGTTCGTTGGGATTTTCTATCCGTGTTTATTGGCTTGTAAACTTTGCATGTGCGATGTAGGATTCTTGTGACGTCATCCGTTGACATGTGGCATGCGTCGCCACATCACTCCCTCCCAAGACCGGAGGTCGATCCCGCTGCGACGGCTGTCGATGCTTGAGATGAGTGGCGCCAGAGCCAGTGTAGAACGTCCCTAGTTCCAGTGGGTCGGAACCGTGCCGCTGAGTGCCCAGTGAGTCGGGTGAGCGGTGCAGGGTGAAACTCCAGTGAGTCGGAGAGATGAGTTCGCAGTGTCCCACGGTGAGTCGGGGAAGAGATGCTGCGAGGGTAGGTGCGTAGTGGCCGGCATCTGCGTTGACGGGAGGAGATGTCCTTCAGAACCGTGTGCAGAAGTGCTGTGCCTAGATGCTGGTGAGGCCGTAGGGAAGAACCAGGCTGCACAACTTCGTTGCAGGTAATGGTAGTCCCTGATGAGGCCGAGGATGCTGGTTGGCTGCGACTTGGTTACCGCTCAGCGGAGAAGTGATGAATGAGAGGGATGGCGATACGGATGACGGTGCTAATCTGCTCCGTGAAGTGAAGGTTGTTTCCAATCACGTCGGGGTCACCACTTTAGGGAACAGAGAGTAAAGTTCCCTTAGATCGGAAAAGGAGGATCCTCCGACCAGGCGAGGTGATCGTGCCTGGCGGGCTTTCTGCCCAACAGTTGTTCGTTGGGATTTTCTATCCGTGTTTATTGGCTTGTAAACTTTGCATGTGCGATGTAGGATTCTTGTGACGTCATCCGTTGACATGTGGCATGCGTCGCCACAACTTTAGAATTTTAGAAATAGCTTATCGACTCAATGAACACGAGACGTTTATAAATGATACGTCTTATGGTATATATTTTTATTTCAAGTCTATGAATAAAAGCAACGAAGCTTCTATTTCAAGCACTCAATGTCATATTACGGTACAACAAACAAATAGGTAAATGTTTATCTACTTTTCTAGTTCACAAAACACTTTTGTTGTTGCATGTCCCAAGTTGTTGGCTAAAACAACACACGTTGCCTTCCATTTAATTGATTAAAACGTTCTGTAATCGATTGTACATTTGTTGTCAACATTTGTAAGCTCGATTGTACACAAATAGACGTTTTGCTGACATGTCGCCTTGACAAGTTCAGAATGATTCGATTTTATTTTGTAGGGAAGTTTTTTTAAATCGTATTCGTAATCAATTCTAATTTTTTTGAAACACCATCACTTTTTACAGGCTAATAAAGGGTTTAATATTTTTGGCTTAATTAGTTGAACAGTACTAGTAACATAACATGACACATAACATAACATCTCGCCTTTTATCCCCGAAAGGGTAGGCAGAGGTGCACATAATGCCACTATACAATGTAACACCCACTTTTCACTATTTATGTTATGAGTCCCATGTAATAGGGGGTGACCCTATTGCTATATACCGGGCAGAATACCAGACTCCGTGCTACTACTGAGATTTTTTTTGAAAAACCCGGTAGTACTTTGCCCGACCCGGGAATCGAACCCGAGACCCCTTGCCCGGCAGTCGCACTTGCGTCCACTCGGCCAACGAAGCAGTCAATATCTTCAATACTACTAGTATTGAAGATATTGACTGCCAATAGGCTACCCAATGGTGTAATCGATAGATATTTGCTGAACAAATGAATGCAGAAACTTGTACAACTCGGAGATGTGAAGAGTCGTGTTATTTCTCTTCTGTGTCCCTCATCGTTTAACCAAAAATCATAAAGAAACATAATGCTCAGTAATAGTAACAAAGAAAACAAAGTACGTACAATAAAAACCCATTCATTTAGGTCAAGCATATTGGAATAGAATAATATTTATGTGTGTAAATTGTATTTTATGTGACTTTT